AACGATCGACAAAACAACCGTTCACCGTCACCCCAGAACATAACATCCCAGGTATGTTCTGGGTACCTACCTACCTACCCTGTCAGGTAACGAAGTATTCATTTAAATTCACTCAATGCGCAGATAGCGACAACACAAGCAGTTGAATGTCACTGACAACGAACAAACGTAAACGCAAAGTAGGTTCAATCGTTTCATGTCAAAACGTTCAACGCGTTGACAAAACGCGAATTTATTAGTTGCCGAACTCAAGCAAGCAACTTCGAACGAAGCAAACAAAACCAGCCTGTCTTTCGGCATTCAAATCAGCCTTATGCCCCACTAATTGGAATACACACTGTCCCGGCTGCGGTCCACCAACATTTGCTTCAGCCTCATTCAACCATTGTGCAACATGCTCAAACGTTTCACGATTTGAAATATCATAGACAACGATCACACCAACTGAGTTACGATAATACGAACGCGTTATTGACCTGAAATTGCCATTTTTTTGAATCTGATGAGGAAGCGACTCTCAAAATTCGTGACTTCATCTCCAATAATGTTTTAGAATAGAGCATTTCCATGTCAAAATTTCACTCAGGGATGATTGAACCGAATAAATTGGGGAAACTGATTGGAAAAAGATCTTCACTAGAACTGACCTGAATTTCTCTTGCCCGGCTGTATCCCATAATTGCAATTTTACGCGATATCCTGGTTTGATCTCAATCATACGCGCATAAAAATCCACACCAACTGTAGGGTCGATAATCTCGGCGGTCTTTCCTTCGGTGAAGTATTTCAGCAAACTAGACTTTCCGACTGTAGAATCACCGATCAGTATCAAACGATACTGGTAGTGGAATAAAGGACCGAAATCAGACGATATGTGATGCGCATCGTTTCCAAGCATCTTCTTGATATTTCAATTGTTTTAATGAATTTAAATCATTTAACGAATAGAACTTCAGGGTGAATATACACGGAGATGCGAATATTGTATTGGTATCAGCTTCAAATGATCACTCGATAACATCAATGAGAGATATGATCTGAAACTATCACAATAAGGCATCGGAAAATAATTCACAACATTGTAGATTCGCAAGTTTTACATAAACCGCCGAATATTCGTGGAATCGATCGATCAGCCGACTGATAACCCAAAAAAATGCAACGTGATCAATAACAGCAAACGCGTTGTACCATAACAAAACTACACCTTTCTAATGGTATTTTT